TATATGACAATGGTAAGTGTGGCCATTTTGGCCACGGCCTTTGGAGAACAACGGTATTTGGTACCAAGGACCTTACCGTTTCCGACAGGGTGCCGGTTCCTTTAATCCAACCCGTCCAAAAATAGCTCGACGTATACCGGTTCTTCAGGGAGACCCGAGGACAAGGACTTCTTGGAGAAATTGAGTGCCCGAATGGAAATCGAATTTCGCGGGTAGAAGTCGGAAAGGAACTTGTTACTCCACACAGGGAGGGAGGATAGTTATTAGGATATTTTTAGGGGGGATTTTTTTTAAATTTAGTACACTTCCATGTGTAATAATTAACCGTCCACCCTTAAAATATGGAAATCTGCTGTTGATGTTTTTAGTAATTCGGTTATAAGCGAAGCTAACGGATGCATAATTCTTTCAGATTCACAACAATGAGGTTTTTAGGGAGGATAGTTTTGTTGTGTTTTGTCGGGACGATAACTTGCGAGAAGGAGTCGACTGATCTGAGGGGGGTTTCACTTCACCTTAATTTTGTACACTTACATGTGTAATAATTAACCGTCCACTCTTAAAACATGTAAATCTGATATTTTCATTAATGTGGTTATAAGGGAAGCTAATAGATGCATAATTGTTTCACATTCACAACAATGAGGTTTTTAGGGAGGATAGTTTAGTTGTGTCTTGTCTGGACGATAACTTGCGAGAAGAAGTCGACTGATTTGAGGGGACTTTACTTCACATTAATTTAGTACACTTACATGTGTAATAATTATCCGTCCACCCTTAACCCTTTGCGGACGAGACTTTTCCATTATAAAGGCTTTTGGGTGACTATTTGACGACATTCGTCCGCAAAGGGTTAAAATATGGAAATCTGCTATTGATGTTTTCAGTAATTTGGTCATAAGGGAAGCTAACGGATGCATAATTGTTCCAAATTCACAACAATGAGGTTTTTAGGGGGAATAGTTTTGTTGTGTCTTGTCGGGACGATAACTTGCGAGAAGGAGTCGACTGATCTGAGGGGGTTTTACTTCACCTTAATTTAGTACACTTCCATGTGTAATAATTAACCGTCCACCCTTAAAATATGGAAATCTGATGTTGATTTTTTTAGTAATTTGGTTGTAAGGGAGGCTAACGGATGCATAATTGTTTCACGTTCACAACAATGAGGTTCTTAGGGAGGATAGTTTTGTTGTGTCTTGTCGGGACGATAACTTACGAGAAGGAGTCGATTGATTTGAGGGGGCTTCACTTCACCTTAATTTAGTACACTTACATGTGTAATAATTAACCGTCCACCCTTAAAATATAGAAATCTGCTGTGGATGTTGTCAGTAATTTGGTTATGAGGGAAGTTATCGGATGCATAATTGTTTCAGATTCACAACAATGAGGCTTTTAGGGAGGATAGTTTTGTTGTGTCTGGTCGGGACGATAAGTTGCGAGAAGGAGTCGACTGTTGAAAAGGCTTCACTTCACCTTAATTTAGTACACTTACATGTGTAATAATTAACCGTCCACTCTTAAAACATGGAAATCTGATGTTTTCAGTAATTTGGTTATAAGGGAAGCTAACGGATACATAATTGTTTCAGATTCACAACAATGAGGCTTTTAGGGAGGATAGTTTTGTTGTGTCTTGTCGGGACGATAACTTGCGAGAAGGAAGAGGAGGGCGACACTTCCAGCGCTTTTCTTGAAGCAGCTCAAGTTCTCTTCAGCAATAAAGATGCCGTGGGTGGTCTTCAAGGTGTGGCGAATGCATTTATGCAATCCGATGCAGGAAAGCAGGTACGAGAGAATATCGTTGATTAAAGTGATATATTAGTGGATAAATATGTTACAATCAGAGGTTGTCTTCTAAATGCCCGGAAGCTCGACGTTAAAAAGCTGCTGATATATTATTTTAAGATCTGATTGAGATAGAAAAATATTTTGAGAAATTCTTAGTTGCAAATCAACACGCACATTTTCGTTTTAATATATCTACAATTGTTATAACATATAAAGTCCGCAATGATAATTAAGCCATGGCGTGACAAATTTATTCTGCAATATGCGTACATACATTGCAGACATTCCGTGCAGCAAATTGTTTGTAAATCGATTTTCCTCGTCATATGATGATTATGAATTTCTATCTGGGAAAAATTGCATTAAAATGATTTGTAGATGATTATGAAACGAGTACGTATAGACAAATTTATCTGACGCACTGCCGATAAACAATTGCAGTGTCCTTAGCTCATATTTGAGTCATGGCGCAATGGAAACGGGAACATGAAACAACGTCATATTTACCTCACATTTGTAGCATTAACTAGCTTCATACAATGTCATGGAATGATGTTATAGCTCCTGTTAAATTTTCCATAAATGATTACCTCATAAATGTCAATTATGGCATAACTGGCATATGACTCAAGTAGGGGGTAAACATATTGCTGCAACCACTTGTGACAAATTAATCGTTAATTTTTGTTAAAATTCATTCTGCAATATGCCAACATGTATTGCAGACATTTCATGGAGCAGATGGTCTGCAAATTGTTTGTAAATCGATTTTTTCTTTCATGATATGATGATTTGTATCTGGGTGTCTACTTTCCCGATGTTTTAGAAGGAATCTTGAAATTACTTCCTACTATTGTTTATGCAGTTACAATAATAATGACAATGTTTTTTGTAACCTTTTATTTCTCTTTCAGGTCAATGATATGCTGACAGGAGGAAAAGCCAATGGCGATGGAATCGGGGATATCATCTCCGGATTGGGCAGTCTTGTCACCGGTGCCAACAGTGGCTCAACATTGGGTTCGATTTTCGAAAGTTTAACAGAATCGGGGAACAACAAAAGGGCCAAAAGAGACCACGGAGATGAATCTAGTGGAGGCATCGATTTTGACACCATGATTAATCTGGCTAGCATGTTCATGGGTCAAAAAAACGCCGCTCAGGGACTCATGGGACTTATGCCGATGATCCTGCAGAACATGGGAGGTGATTTCGAAAGTTCCTCCAACGACAAGCATGATCATTCTGGCCACTCTTGGTTCATGCCCCCTGTTCTGGAAAGCATCCATGTTATGTGGGACCATTTCAGGTACATATACTTCTGCCTGGGTCTCTATTTACACGATATTAATTTTTTTACGAATTTGTTCTCTCATAAAACGTAGTCTTAAGGTGATGCGAAAGTGGAGTCAAACAAGCGTTACTCGTTAATGAAACTTTCATCCATGTTATGTGGGACCATTTCAGGTACGTATACTTCTGCCTGGGTCTCTATTTACACGATATTTATTTTTTTACGAATTTGTTCTCTCACAAAACGTGCTCTTAAGGTAATGCGAAAGTGGAGTCAAACAAGCGTTACTCGTTAATGAAACTTTCATCCACGTTATGTGGGACCATTTCAGGTACATATACTTCAGCCTGAGTCTCTATTTACACGATATTTATTTTTTTACGAATTTGATCTCTCGCAAAACGTACTCTTAAGGTGATGCGAAAGTGGAGTCAAACAAGCGTTACTCGTTAATGAAACTTTCATCCACGTTATGTGGGACCATTTCAGGTATATACACTTCTACCTGGGTCTCTATTTACACGATTGTAATTGTAACGAAATTATTTCTTTCCCTGCGATTTAGAACAGAAATTTGTAACAATTACAGACATACAGTACCTATTGTCAAGTTTACATTTACCATTCCATGTAGTTAATTTCACCATTTCTGTGGTTTTACTTCCCATAGAATTTTAACCATGTCACTATAATAATTGTAACTAAATTATTTCTTTCCATGCGAATTAGAACAGAAATTTGTAACCATTACAGGCATACAGTACCTATTGGTAAGGTTACATTTACCATTCCATGTAGTCAATTTCACCATTTCTGTGGTTTTCCTTCCCATAGTATTTTAACCATGTCACTATAGTAATTGTAACGAAATTATTTCTTTCCCTACGTATTAGAACAGAAATTTGTAACCATTACAGGCATATAGTTCCTATTACCAAGTTTACATTTACCATTCCATGTGGTCAATTTCACCATTTGTGTGGTTTTACTTCCCATAGTATTTTAATCACGACACTATAGTAATTATAACCAAATTATTTCTTTCCCTGCGAATTAGAACAGAAATTTGTAACAATTACAGACATATACAGTACCTATTGCCAAGTTTACATTTACCATTCCATGTAGTTAATTTCACCATTTGTGTGGTTTTACTTCCCATACTATTTTAACCATGTCACTATAGTAATTGTAACCAAATTATTTTTCTTCCGTGCTAAATAGAACAGAAATTTGTAATATAGTTCGTTTTCATTTGTTTAACAGCAATTCCGAATTAGGACAGACCCTCTGGAAGAACAGCGGCTTGGCGAACATTGTTGGGATGATGTCCGACGAACATGGCCGCATTCAGTACGAGAAAATCATGGAAAGCTTTGAGAATCCCACTCTTCGCCGTCGATGGATCAAGTCTCTGACGAATTTTGTCGCTGAATGGATCTCTCATATTTCGGATCCAGCCACACAGCAACGATATCTGACGACGGTTCAGTACGTCGGAAACAGCTTCCTAAAATCTCAGGGATATCCTAAGCCCGTAATGTTCGACTCTACGAGACCAGCGGATAGTCTCTCCAGGTAAAAAAATATCCATCTAAATATTTTAATTATACATAACTATATCAATACCGTAATAATTCTTCTCGCATCATAAAATACATGCAGAAAAATATTTGTTTTGAATCAACAGAATTATTGTTGGTCCAACCATGCCCACCAAACACACTATGTTACAATTACATAACACTGGAATAACATGATATATAACGAATGTTATTCGAAAGATACATTAAGGTGAAGTGAAACACCCTTCAAATCAGTCGATTCGAATACAACACTTTTTTTAAAGGGTAAAAGACCAAACTGTCCGAAACTTTGACACATCACTCCTGATCGTCTAAGAATTGTCCTGACACATTGAAAATTTGGATTTTTGAACAAAATTTTTTAACTCAGCCCAGACAAGAACCAAAATGGCGTCGAGCTCTCATATTTCGATCAATATACAATTATCGAAGGCTCCGAAATGAGAAACGAAAGGGTCAGGACAATTTTACGAGAATTTAGAACACTCTGGTAATCGATAAATTCGCATTTGAACGAGATAAAGGTAAAAAAAGTGTTGTATGCGCTTCTATGCTAAAACGATGGTAATACAAAATCTCGGAGTGAAAATTTAGTTGATATGGAAAACACAGATAGCGTTGAGGGTCTCTCTGAAGTCAATTAGGGTTTCAGAAAGCATGAATCCAGAGGTTTTCTAGAGTTTTACTTCGAGTTCTTTACGATTATTGTATGAAAATGACGGGTGGAGTATGTCATTTAGTACAATACCCAATTTGAAGGCTCTGATATGAGAAATGAAAGTGTCAGGACAATTTTACGACAATTTAGAACACTCTGGTAATCAAGAAACTCGCATTTGATCGGGATAAAGGCAAAAAAGTGTCTTATGCGCTTCTATGCTAAAACGATGGTAGTACAAAGTCTCGGAGTGAAAATTTAGTTGATATGGAAATCACAGATGGCGCAGGGGGTCTCTCTGAAGTCAATTAGGGTTTCAGAAAGCATGAATCCAGAGGATTTCTGGAGTCTTACTTCGATTTCATTATAATTATTGCACGAAAACGACATGTGGAGTATGCCATTTAATACAATACCCAATATAATTCGATACAGCTGTCAATATAAAAACTAACGTTGACAACGTAGGCATCTATAAAAACCTCTTTTACCGACGTCGATCAAGTTCTTCGACGTGTTTCACTTCACCTTAGAATGAACAGCGTTTCTTTTTTCAAAAAGGGAATATCTCTTTCATAACATGCGGTCTTACATTATACCGTGCCATTCAATGTTTTAATTAAAAACGTGTCTTTTTACAGATTAATCAACGCCGTGGCGAAAAGGCATCTGAACATGAAAATAGACAGCTACAAGTACATCAAACCTGCGGTAGCTTATTTCCAGGAATTAATAAACCTTGCTTCGGAAAAGGGTTTCATTATGTCGCGAGTAAATGCCATGGAGCTTAGCAACAAACTAAGTGAAACCATCAACAATGATCTCATCGCACCTCTCCTTAAGGTAAAAACATTTTCAGGTCCTTATTCCAACCACACTTTTAAAGTTAAGAGACGTCTTTTATGTTATCCTTAATTAATTGCAACTAAAAGTAATCTTTCGATGCAAAATGAGAGATATAAGTAAAGGCATAAATCTTCAAATAAATCATCAAGAGGTACTTTGATTTTTTGCAACTGTTGCTAATCAATGATTCGAAATTTGTTGATATATTTGCATACGCAGTTGTGTTAAATGACACCATATTGTATACATCTATTATTCAATTATGGGGGAAGGTCAGTTAAACCAATGAAAAATGCGTTTTTTACCCCCTTCGTTTTTTTAAAAAAACCGAACGGACATGTTTTCCTTCAATTATTAATTTAATTAGATAGTTATTCATTAAATAAGATAATTATTAATATTTTTTAGGTTTACCGAGGTTACAAATGGGCAACGAAGTCACCTCAATGCGCTAGTCATATCTTATGCGTTATCAACAGTCAAAGTACAGAGGGTGATAATAAGAGCATGTCCTCACTACGCAGTGGTTTGACAAAATTGGCGAGTTTCCCAGCAGCTTGGGCCATCAGCAACAAAACTGGACAGAATTTCTGGACATTGTATGGAGCTGTTCAGGACAATCAGAAATGTTTTGTAAGATTTACAATATTTTCATAAGCTAACGAGATACGTGACTAAAATTTTGATTGGCTGAAAGGAGGGGTTAGCCATTATAAATTTAGGATTCTTTTATAAATTTAGGATTTTTTAATAAATTACGGATTTTTTTATAAATTTTGGATTTTTTTATAAATTTCGGATAATTTTATAAGGTTTAGGATCCTTCCTCATACGTCACTTTTAGAGTTAAAACACGTCTTTTACCTCTAAAAGTGAGGTATAAAGACGGGCTTAAGGTGAAGTGAAACCCTATTCAAATCAAGAATAAGTCACTTTTTTTTAAGGCTATTGAATTGAAATGTCCGAAACTTTGACACATGACTCGTGATCACCTAAGAATTGTCGTGATACTTTCAAAATTTGGATTTTCGAAACAATATTTTTTTATTTAACCTACACCAGAACAGAAATGGCGTCGAGATCTTATATTTCGATTAATATACAATTATTAACGGCTCTAATATGAGAAATGCAAGTGTCAGGACAATTGTACGACAATTTAAAACATTCTGATAATCGATAAACTCGCATTTTAACGGGATAAAGGCAAAAAAAGTGTCGTATGCACTGCTATGCCAAAACGATGGTAATACGAAGTCTCGGAGTGAAAATTTAGTTGACATGAAAATCACAGATGGCGCAGGGTGTCCCTCCGAAGTCAATTAGGGCCTCAGAAACGATGAATCCAGAGGGTTTCCGGGGTTTTACTTCGATTTATTTATAATTATTATACGGAAACGGTAGGTCGAGTATGCCATTTAGTACAATACCCAATATAATTAGACACAGCTGCCGATATAAAAACAAACGTCGGCAACGTAGGTATTTAGAAGAACCTTTTTCACCGACGTCGATGCAGTTCCTCGATGCGTTTCACTTCACCTTAACATTTTAAGACTTGATCTTCCTACTGTTTAACGATTATAGATAACGAAATATAGATCATAACACATTAAAGCAATTTTCTTTTTTTTTCTAGCACATTTTACACTAAAATAATTATTTTACATTACTTCTAAGCATATCATATATTCATATAATATTGTCCACTATTTCGTCTATCGGGAGTTATTGGATACTTAGTTGGTTTCCAACTCTTTGTCAATTTGTAGCCAGCTCCTTAGTGTAAATTGTGCTAGAAAAAAAAAAGTGCTTTAATGTGTAATGATCTATATTTAAAAGTAACATTAAAGAGGATGAAATAATATTGAGACATTTCACATTTCAGGAGATGTACCCAGCGGACTGCACGGCTTTCCACGAAGAAGAAATTAGAGTGACTACGGAATATGCTCATAATGAGCTTTAGTGCTTTAATTGATGAGCAGGATTTTCTCATTTGGGCGGAACGACAACGTCTTTCCATCTTCACTACCCCGAAAGGAATTATCGTCTTTAGGGGGCTAGTGGGTTGTGAAATGCGTTTTAATTAACAGTAAATTTAAAAGAGAATTAAATGGTACAGGAAATATTTATCTACTGAGCTGTTTTATTTCATGATTTAAGCAGAATTAAAAGCAAAAGAGTTTTAAAAAGTTTCAAAATGGCGGACTTGCGAAGGACGAAAATTTCTGATTTTTGTTTTCATGACGTACATAATTCCAAGAGTATATAATTGCAAGATTGAAACAAAATGTCATCAACAGTACATTTTAAAGAGAATTAAATGGTATAGGAAATATTTATCTACTGAGCTGTTTTATTTCATGATTTAAGCAGAATTGAAAGCAAAAGAGTTTTAAAAAGTTTCAAAATGGCGGACTTGCGGAGGACGAAAATTCCTGATTTTTGTTTTCATGACGTACATAATTCCAAGAGTACATAAGAGTAAATAATTGCAAGATTGAAACAAAATGTTGATGCTTTCAGATACTAGGGGAGGATATTTAAGAACAAATTACACGGCTCTTTGACGATAAATAAACTCAGACTTCAGTAAAAAGAGAAGTCAATGGTTAATACCTTTTCATTGCTCTTTGTACTTGAATTGTTGATATCTTTCGGATGAAAATTTTCGCTAAAAATCCGTGCCATCGGTTTTTAAATAATGGTATTTAGTTTCAAAGATCAGGTTAACTTTTTATTTCGTACTTGCCGTTCCCCTGGAATGATACGTGAACAAAAATCGAGAATTTCCCTCCTCCACGAGTTAACTCTACTTTGAAACGATATAAACATTTAATATATCCATAAAACAGGCCCGTAAGAAAATATTTCCTGTATCTTGTAATCCACTTTTAAATCCACTTTAATTAAAACGTATTTTACAGCCTGTTAACTCCTTTAAGGAATCGACCAAACGTGAGAAAATATTATTCTCCACCCTGTTCAACATTTCTTTTATTCAAAAAATGTTGACAAGACAATATTGAAGAGATTACTTCCGTGACTGAAATTATTCTCATAAATTTTCCTGGAATCGCGTTATGGTGAAAATGATGGGTAGACATTGTTGTTCTACGTTTTTCTGGCCGGTTTGTGCCCGCGAAATGGGAAACTTGTTGACAAGTTTAAAGAAAATAGTGTCGAGTCGCCAAAAAACGGGAAAGACCCCATATTATCAGTGGTTAAGAATGAATATGAAATATCTTCAAGCGTACTTTGATCATTAAGAAATTGTAAATAAAATCAATAACGTCTTCATCCGTTTCGCCAAAAGATCAATCTAATCCATGTTTTTCTCACTTTTGTGCAGTGTTTAGGTTAAAGTTCGATTAACCGAAGCTAAACGATCGAATTTCGCTGGTGCAGTTTTAGGTTAAAGTTCGATTAACCAAAGCTACACAAACGAATTTCGCTGGTTAATCCAAACGGCGATTAATGGAAATTAACCAACCGTTAAAATGTGGAGGAACGTGCAACTCCTTGTAACCGAGGATTAGTTTTTGACCGAGGTTTGTGGAACCGGGCATTGATATCGTTGATTTTTACCTCGTTTGTCCATACGAATGTGGAAAAATGGACAGCACCGAAGAATTTTGCACAATTATAAATATCCAAAAAGGTTTTCTCTTATTCGTTAGAAAAGCTTGACCACAGAGTCGCGCAGGGGAAAAAAATGAACTACGTACAATTAAATTCGCACGGCAGGGCCTAATTATGTTTACACTAGTGTTAATTGTAGTACGAACTTATGATAGACGTTCATGATATTGCATGATATCGTCAGTGCAATATGAGGATGATTTCGTGGTGCTCGCAGAAAAAATCTCGTAGTTCCCTTTTTTCTTTCACAGTTTATTTCCATAATTAATCAATAGAGTGGTAACTTGTAAAGATTCCGTTAATAGGAATAATCGATATGCATTAAAAGGCACGTTATTTGCAAACGATTTGCCTGCTCAAGAGAGCTACTCGTTTTGTCAGGACGGATGTGTGATCACGCTGTAAAAATTAATTATTAAAAGCCACACTATTTGAGATCGATTTGTGTAATTATATAGAACGTGTGTAAATTTGCTCGTGCTTGTGATTTGAGTTTAACGCTAATCGGTATTATTCTTAGAGAAAGATGTCATGTTACGTCAAATTTACATCGGTCAGATGTTACAATTGCATCGCTGGAATTCAGATTAAAATATTCCAATTAGGTATCGCTGGAAAATATTGGAAGTGGTTAACGCCAATTATTTAAATACTCATCTAAAATGTTGAATTTGAAAGCGAACTAGTTTCGCCTGATTCGTTAATGTTTTACGAGAAAGCAATATATTGCTCATTGCAAGTGAGCCGTTAAGAATGATGCAATACGTTCCATTTATCACAAAAATTAAAAATAAAGTCTACAAAAACTGTTAGTCTAAATAAGAGTAAATAACAAAATGAAACGAACTCTGACAATTTTAACATTGATTTAAATCATTGGTGTTGGCTTTCTCACTATCTCTTCCGCTTTGACTAGATTAACTGCGAAATATCGCAAAACAATCGCATGAAGATCGTCCAATTAATCATTACTCAATATCGAGGATTGATAACTTTGATAATTCAACTTAAAAATTAATATGCAATACTTTGCAAGTGGTTTCTATGTAATGAATCCAAGTTTTACTCGTTCCCATCGTCTAATGGGTTTGCGCACTTATGTAAATGCGGTGATTGTCGACGTCGCCGGGCACAGTATCGATAATGCAATTTCCCAGCTCTAGGTCTGTAAATATTAGATAAAAACCGAATAAAGTGTTCGTGAAATGTAGACAAGTGATTCCTGTCTGCATGTCCTGATTCCTAATTGATTCCTTCCAGGATTGTCTTTCGAATTTGCGTGCATTATTTCCTCCTGATATTCTTGCAAGCCCATTCTAGACCTTCCTGTAATAAAAAATAATTTCTAGAGTATAGAGGACTTTCCTTGCTACAGAATTAAAACGTTTTCTACAGTAATACTACTCGGTATAATATAAAGGTACAGAAAGTTCCTTTCAAGATTTCTTTTTTAAACTCGAATGACTTATTTTCTTAATTAAATCTTAATAAAGTTTTAAATATGACGGTATATTAATAAACGTAACATTTATATTAACAGTACAAGGTTCTTTATCCTGAAAAAATGGCATTACTAGGCATCGTTTTGATGTTTCACAGTGAACCACATAAAAGCTTTAGCTGACGAGTGAAGACCATTTCATTCCATGTTTTCTTTTTGCATAAATACATTTTTCTTACTTGGGGTTGCTACTTTATTATGTTATGTACAATTAGATTATGTGCAATGAAGCGATAACATCATGAAATAGCATAAAAAGTTCCACTCTATGGGTCTTTCCGGAAAATTTTAATCCTACGTTTCCTTGCCAAGTTAGTGGATAGTGACACTAGCGATCCTTGCGGGAAAAACTTGTAACTCGATTATGCAACATGGCGGCACGTACAACATAAATCAAATGTGGTATTATGCGTGGTACAGTTGGAAAACACAAGTTTTGCCTACACTTTCTACAATTTTACGAAAAGTGTACACTTTCTTTAGACTTTCTACCCTCGACCCCGAGCTAGTGCAAGAAGGTTAGCCCGCGAATTTGGCGGCAAATTTCAAAATTGAAAAGACCAACAAACAGGAAAATACAAAATGTATGCCAACGTCTCAACGTAATATAAACAGAAGTAATTATTAATGCATCTTCTTCGTGTATAGAACGACTTAGCGTTTTAGTTTTGTACGTAATGTTTGAAAGAATTTACAATAATTATGTATTACTACCTAACCGCGATTGGAATGAACTAACCTATAATTTTTCCCTGTTGTAGTTAAATTCTTTTTTATTCTCCTGCAATAATATTCTGACCCTTATCGATCCTCAATACCTGAAATTCGTTAAAGGAATGATGTCGACGAAAGTGTATCTACCCTTCTGCACTTTTCAAGAAAAGTGTAGTACCCTCGTTACCCTCGAGGGTAGAAAGTGCAGTCAATGTGAACAAACCTATGGTTCTGATAGTGGCTGATAGGAAGGTATTCGTGTCAGCTACTGTATAGGTATAAATTACGTATAATAAAAAATACCTTGACACCCTTTCCTTCGGTGGCGATACAAGATTGTATCTGCCAATCACGATCCTTGATTTTGTGCAATCCCAATCCTTCTGCAATTTCAGCCGCTGTCACAGCTTGGCTTAAGTCTTGTTTATTAGCATAAACCAGTAATGGTACCCCACGTAATTTGTCTTCTAACAATAATTCCGCCAATTCTTGGCCTGTTTCGTCTAATCTTTTAATGTCGGCACTATCGACCACGTATATCTATCGGCAACGATACATTATTTAAGTAACTAGGTAAACCATGTTAAGGGATAAATCTTAGTTTAATTACCAAAACGTCAGTGTTTTCGAAATAATTCCTCCAATAAGGTCTGATCTTTCGTGCTCCACCGATATCCCAGACATTCAGCTTAATTCCTTCGCTTTGAACACTTTTTATATTGAAGCCTTGAGTCGGTGTTACCTAATTTCAATTATAAAAAATCATTCACTTCATTCCGAGATTCTGAGTTCATTTTATTAATCAAGCAAACGAATGCAAAATATAAAAATTAAATATCACTTAATAATACGTTTACCTCTACCTGTACTATATTCTGTACATTTGAAGGTGAAGTGAAACCCCCCTCAAAACGGTCGATTTGAATAAAACATTTAGAACACTCTGGTAATCAGGAAACTCGCATTTGATCGGGATAAAGGCAAAAAAGTGTCTTATGCGCTTCTATGCTAAGACGATGGCAATACAAAGTCTCGGAGTGAAAATTTAGTTGATATGCAAATCACAGATGGCGCAGGGAGTCTCTTTGAAGTCAATTAGGATTTCAGAAAGCATGAATCCAGAAGATTTCTGGAATTTTACTTCGATTTCTTTACGATTATTGTATGGAAATGACGGGTGGAGTATGTCATTTAGTATAATACTCAATATAATTCGATACAGCTGTCGACATAAAAACGAACGTCGGCAACGTAGCTATTTAGAAAAACCTCTTTTACCGACGTCGATAAAGTTCCTCGACGTGTTTCACTTCACCTTAACAATTGTAATTACCTGTGTGATGTCCTCGTTTGCCAAGGACTTCAAAATTGTTGTTTTTCCGGCATTATCTAAACCGAGCAGCAGAAGTCGCAACTCTTTGTCCGGATTCGAGCGTAATTTCCGTAAAATCGAGAGCAGTCCCTAAGGATAAAAATGATAATACATATGAAAACATATTTTAGATATATTCGAATGAAATCTACAAGACATCTTAAAAAAATCTATCGCTTGAGATATTGAGCACGGATTAGAAAGAAATATTTAGAAATTATTCTGCGCTACTGGGGAATGAATTTGAATTTATCAACCTCGATTAAATTTTTCAGAGCCTTTCATGTCGTCTTAATGGATTAAAACCTTGAAAGGAAAGGCAGGATATTAACTGACTAGAAGCAACGAATAAATCGATGGAAATTAACCTCCTTCGTGATCGAACTTATGAATTATTACTCGAGTGTACAAGAAAGAACATATAGAAGGAACGTAGTTCTTCATTTTTATGCAGTACTGTCGTTATTAATTAGTTTTTTATTTATAAAGTAAATTCTGTTTAAACTACACCAATAAATACCACATCAGTTACAATACTGTCAACCATAAAGGGATTGCATCTTTCAATGGTAATTTAAATTATGCATTGAAGAAAAAAATCTCTGATTTAGTTTTGTGATAATAAACGACTGCGTTAATTTCTTTACAATTTTTTAATAATTTTAATGATTTCGTTCATATGAATGTGACATATTATATGAAGACGAGAGAGAAATTAAAAGAAATCAATAAGCAAAATCTGAATTTTCATGTTTATTCGAAAACGCTTGTAAATCTAAGATATTAATTTGGATGTTTTGTGTACAATTGATAACTCGTATTAACATTTTCATAACGACCATTCAGGTTGGTTAAAACCTTTTGTAGTTGCTACGGGTTTAGTAGATGTTATGAGTATGTTAGATTGTTAAAAACCGATTAAGTATGCAATTTGTTAAAAGTTCTTTATCACACATTCAGCGAAATGTTGACTTTCTAGGCGAAATTAATCAATGAATGACTTTGTTACGCACAAAATTGACTTCGGGTATTAATAATATTAATGGACCCTAGTAGCACAAAATATCAAAGTTGGAGTCATTTCTTTTTTAATGGAAACCAAACAACCTTCAGAATTTTCGAAAGCTTTCATTTTCCAGTTTTAAAAATCGGCGCGAACAGATTTCGCCGTTATTTTGATACATTTTAAATCTTTTATCTAATAGTTTGTTAAAAACGTCAAACACTGTCTACCAACTTCCTTAAGGACTTCCAAAACATTGTTTCATAAAAGTCGATCGGATTCCAAAAATACCCGCCATTTTCTTTAACGTACTAACATTAATAAGCGCTTGTTAAATTTGGAGTTATTTCTTTTTTAATGAAAACCAAACAATCTTCAGAATTTTCGAAAGCTTTCATTTTCCAGTCAAACACTGTCTACCAACTTCCTTAAGGAACATTCAAAACATTGTTTCATAAAAATTGATCGGATTTCAAAAATACCCGCCATTTTTTTAAACGTACTAACATTAATAAGCGCTTGTTAAATTTGGAGTCATTTCTTTTTTAATGAAAACCAAACAACCTTCAGAATTTTCGAAAGCTTTCATTTTGCAGTTTTAATAATCGGCGCGAACAGATTTCGCCGTTATTTTGATACATTTTAAATCTTTTATCTAATAGTTTGTTAAAAACGTCAAACACTGTCTACCAACTTCCTTAAGGACTATCCAAAACATTGTTTCATAAAAGTCGATCGGATTTCAAAAATACCCGCCATTTTCTTTAACGTACTAACATTAATAAGCGCTTGTTAATGTTGGAATTATTTCTTTTTTTATTGAAAACCAAATAATCTTCAGAATTTTCGAAAGCTTTCATTTTCCAGTTTTAAGAATCGGCGCGAATAAATTTTGCCATTATTTTTAACCGTTTTAAATCTTATATCTGACAGTTTATTAAAAACGTCAAACACTGTCTACCAACTTCCTTAAGGAACATTCAAAATATTGTTTCATAAAAATCGATCGGATTTCAAAAATACCCGCCATTTCCCTTAACGTACTAACATTAATAAGCGCTTGTTGGAGTTATTTCTTTTTTAATGAAAACCAAATAACCTTAAGAATGTTCGCTTTCATTTTTCAGTTTTAAGAATCGGCGCGAACAGATTTCGCACCACACAGTACCCAGTGTTACCAATTACAACATTTCAGTGACAATTACAAAGTGTGTACAAGTAAGTCATGTCTTTAAGATTATTATCAACTTTCCCGATGTAATAATTGAAGATAGACAAACAGCGAATGACTATAATGTGTAAGTCTGGGTGAGTTGAAAAATGATTCTGGACGTGAAATAAAACTATCGATGTGACGCAGAATAAGGTTCAAGGTGAGGTCAGGTTATGTTCGTTCGAGGCAGTGCCGTGAAGTAAGTGGAAGGTGTAAGCATGGGTGAGAAATTCGAAATGGCGATACAAAGTGCTTCAATCTACATGAAGTTTACCATTTCTTTTTGCTGGTGGAATAATTGGGATGAAAATGTGAGCCGTTACGGTCAGAGTCCTTCCGTAGAATCGAGGTTTCTGTTTGTTTGTCTCGTAACTAGGGCGAGTGGAGACATCTGCCGAGCATTCAAGGCACTTCGTGTGCACAGGGCGTTTATTACGTATTTTTGACGAGAGCGCTCACTTCTCGCACTTTCATCTCGCGTGGGTTTATTCGTCGAGTTACGTATTCGCTATATGAAAGAACGAAGTCACTAGCTCTTTCGGTCTAGTTATATTGAAATAAAGGTACATACCTTGTAAATCGAAAATTGTTGAGAGATAGGGGGTTATAGGCAGGAAAGGCGGGAAGATGAAAAGCCGTTAAAAGTAAAGAAGAGGACTCGAGTCTATCTATACTTTTTAAATATGTATTACATTCATATTTACATGTACTATAATTAGAAGTTCAACAATAGAATTTTCTTACCGTGTCATGTAAGCATGAATTATTTAACATTTTTCAATGTTTAATAAAGTAACATAACCTCGCGATAACAGAAACTAACCTGTACATCCTAGTAAATTCCCTTTCTTCTAACGAAAATGGGTCTGAGGCATCACGTAATTCCTTTCTTCTTCTAATAAGGATATTATTACGTCCCCGAATACGATTGTTGATTTTTCGGCTTAAAAAAGAAATCACCGCGAGCAAATCCAAAAGCTAGCAAAACGACAATGTACATTATGCGCTTCTGTTATTAGAATTGAGTTATAACCGTTTGGAATATTCATAGCGATTCCAAATATATTCTGGAACATTGTGACGAATAAGTAAAAGTTATTGTTAAATTTTCTGTTCACAGATATAATAATGCCATTGTACTATTCGGGGTTAAATGCCAGTGCCTTGTTTTTAACCGATGATGAACCAGTGGTTATTGTCGATGGATTTAAGGAAATACCATTCAAAGGGCTAACCTCATTTGGAATAGGATGGAATTATTTTCTTCTGTGGAAAGAGTCGGAGCTTTACATTACTGGGAAACTCAATGTAAATGATATATGCATTGAAGAGCAACCTCGACTATTAAAGATTCCAGAGAAAGCACAAGAGTAATGTATTTATATATAAGTTATATCTTTCAATGGTAATTTAAATTATGCATTGAAGAAAAAAATCTCTGATTTAGTTTTGTGATAATAAACGACTGCGTTAATTTCTTTACAATTTTTTAATAATTTTAATGNTCAAAAAATATTGTTCAATATAATGCGATTTTACCAATTGGTTCGTAATTTTAACGATTCGAATATTCAGGCGATAATTTTATGTTTGTGCGCAATATTCGAAAAATAAAAAATACCGACGGTGGCGACGTTATAGATAACTGTAAACAACGGTGAATTAAACGGTATGATTCACACTTTTAGGCCCAATATCAACTTAACCGCAGTTTAACTGGTTTACGCCCGGTTTAATCCTGTTAGAAACCAATTAAACTTCGATTAACTCTAGTTATGGAACCGGGCTTAAATCCAAACCTTAAGGCCCGGTTCCACAGCTGGAGTTAATCTGAGTTTAACCTGTTTACAGCAGGTTTAAACCAACTAAACTCCGGTTAACTCGAGTTATGGAATCGGGTTTTAATACGCGTACTAAATGATCAGCGTAAACTGAGCTTATACTGACTTCGTCCCCATCGTATTCGAAATCCAGGATTTATCGGATCCAAACCCAGTAAATCCGAATTTAAATGTCGATCAAGACGCTCAGAATCGAATCTGCGTATTTATTAATGCGATGGAGACATACCATTTACTAAATCCGGACCCAATAAATCTCGGATTTAGGTTGCGATGGAGACGTAGGCATTGTATAGGATTTCTAGTGTTGGCTATGTCTTCCACTTCAACGTGCTTCAACGTGATCCGTCATCGCGGATCCATTTTAATACATTGAGTTTTCCGGAGATGCATTTTATTCACTTTTCACATATCTCTTTGATATCCTTTAGTTATTTCCAGAAAAACATAAATGTTGTAACCAAGACACTCGGTAGAGTTTCGAGCCAAATACATTTGAGCGAGAAACTCGTAGTGTCGAATGATGAGCGAAATATAACTTACGATTATGTATACATTAAATAATGGCTATTTTACAACAATTTAACGTTTGAAAGACAATTAAGTATTCAATTATGTACAGAATGACTGCCGGGTGGGAGCTGTGCATGAATTTATTGTTGTGTCAATGTAGACACAGAGATACTTTCTCGTTATGAGAAAGCTTTTCCAGGTGGATTGGTTACAAAAAATATTATGTTCTTGTGGGTGAAACTGCCAAATCGCTCCTTGACATGCCTTACATTGGATGGTGGTTTCACCCCCTTAAAGTGTTTAATGGCAGATAAAAAAAATACGTGTCGCTTAGTTTTTTGTCCACTATAACATATTATTAAAGAAATCAAATCGAAGAGATCGACCTGGGATACCTTCCTCGTACGAACTTTGTTATAGTGTATTGTATAATATGTGTAGTGTATAATATTTCATGCACTACGATTTACATAATTTAAATGTTTTATTTAACGTTCATTTTAGTTGTAAGGAGGCAGCAGTTGGGAGGGAAAGTATTATGATCGTTTCAACGAGTAATGACATTTGGCAATATAAGATTTATGATAATGTATGGAGGAAAATTGCAAGTTTCATTCCAAGAAACGATGATTCCGATGAGGAGCATGTTGTGAAAATCGTCCAAGGCGGTTGCACTGTGGCTTTAACGAATTTGGGTAAATAGTCTGATTATAATACAATACTTATAAAACATGTTTTAATGGTTTGAAAGGGAATACCTATCATATAAGATTATCAATGGGTTAGTTTTTCGCTATTTTTTGCGATTAGTGCAAAGAGTTCCTTGAAACTGTGATAAGTGCATGCCCAAGTCAAAAAGACTTATTATTGATTTATACAACTGTATATTACAAATTTTATGATGTCATGATCACTAAAACACGCTTCACAGGGAAGATTGAAACACTATTTTATTAATTTAAAATGATAAGGAAAAATAGAAATTAATTTGATTTTTCAAAAAATATTGTTCAATATAATGCGATTTTACCAATTGGTTCGTAATTTTAACGATTCGAATATTCAGGCGATAATTTTATGTTTGTGCGCAAAATTGGGATGAAAATGTGAGCCGTTACGGTCAGAGTCCTTCCGTAGAATCGAGGTTTCTGTTTGTTTGTCTCGTGGTAATTTAAATTATGCATTGAAGAAAAAAATCTCTGATTTAGTTTTGTGATAATAAACGACTGCGTTAATTTCTTTACAATTTTTTAATAATT